AAGGCAACCCAAAGTTCAATGTAAGCATAATGAATACTCATATCGCTGCGGAAAATGACATTCACCATCTCAAATGAAGCAGTTAACATACTTATTATCCACCGTTGGACGAAAAAATGTTTGTAAATTAGCAATTACTTATGATCACTTTATGGCATATAAACAGGTTATTTCGTTATTCTCTTTTAGTCGTCTAATACGTACTTTGATACCACTTATTTTCCTTCCATGCATCCCAACAGCTCAGATCATCACAATTACCTTAATCCACTTTCATATGTTAATGTTTATCCTTTTGTACAGCACATTCTTTACTTCAATATATCTCGAACCATTCTAAAAAGCCCGCGTTTCCCCTCCTGTACATGCCTTTCTCAGTATTGATCTTTAGCTATTTCTAGCTCGCTGTTAGGCCATTCATATATAGAATTCGGTCTCTTGCTCTCCGGTACTTTTTCGTGTTTCTTTCAACAACTTTAGTATCAATATAAAGCAGTTCCCTTTGTATACAGCCATATAGGATTAAATGGAACCCATTTACAATCAATTTACATGAACACTTTACCCCTGCTTTTCCCACGCTTCTCTAAGAGTTAACAGCATCCTCCATTCTTTTTTCATTTTCTATTATCTACTAAAATTTTGTCAGGTAGGAAATACAAGCCATCCACAGCATAAAGACATCTTTTAGATAATGTATTCGGCTGACCTCATTTGAGCTTTGCAAGTCGCTAACAAAAAAATAATTACCTGGCATAAACTAGTATTGGGCTATGTACACCTCAAGGATATAAGATATATTGCTAGGATTTGTCAGCTTCGCGCTTTATTCTAGCGGCAAACGCCTTCGAAACGAGATTCCATGAATCGATGTATCTATCCATACAAAGGGAGACACATTTCTAAAAAAATATGCCTCATATGTGGATAACCTGCTCAGAGTTATCAAATGAAGAGCCTGGTTTAGTAATACATTTTTCAAAACACTTCACGGACATTTTCTGAAATTGCTAATAAAATATTTAATTACCTCTAGCAGTTCCTTTGCTGATGCAATGGCAATTTCTGCTTTTAATTGTTCCATCAACTGTGTCTTTTGAGCACCCGTCAGAGAATTTAATCCAGCTAAGGAATCTTCCATTTTAAGGCGTAGGATATAGTGAAGTAAAGAGCATGTGGGGGAACCGCGTAGGGCGCAACTTAAAGTAGCAAGTAAAAGAAAAAATAAATATATTGATTACTATTCTGTATGCTTCGAATTTACCGTTAAAACATAATATTTTATTTAAAATAATGGTTATGTTCAATATATATTTTAAATCTTATTCAATCATTCTCTGCCCCTTAATATTTAGGAAAATATCCTCATGGATAATATTTATCATAGACTTTAAGCTAGAGTCACCTTATGTCATTTAAATTGAATTTATAACGCTAAATTATTAGATCCCACGAAACCATATAATTTTACCCATCCTTTCCTTTTTAACAGGCTTTCTCATCAGATGTATACAGCAATTTCTAATTTTTCTCCGCCTCATTATCATTTACGACGGGATTTGAAACCAGCATAACTAGTCCACTACATAGATACAACATTCAATGCTGCAACAGGCATATGAATAGAGTTCTCATAAAAGTTTAAATGAAAATTTCTATAATTATATGCCGTCGGGAGTAAAGAGGAATCTTTAAGCTGACGTCAAAATTATACTTAAGTAAC